AGTAAACTTCACTGGGAATTAAATAGAATAACTATAAAAATAAATAACTATAAATAAAAAACATAGGAACAAATATGTAAATATATATTATATATATATTTAACTTCATTCAGCATTTCCACTGCATTATTGCTTCTTAATAAAAGTATTCATAGCAGCGCATATCGGAGGATATAAGACGATATAACTGTGATAGGTCAATATCGGCTGATAAAATCGGCAAACTTCATACTTATTTCTCCAATACTTTGCCAAAGTGAGCAGAGTATTAGAAATACAACTATAACACACACTTAAGCAACCACAATTATCATAGAGTTGAATCAACACCTCTCTGACATTGTCACAACAAAAACTTAATCTGCCTAAGATGCGAATCATTGTAATCCATTCTGATTAAGCACTATACTTAAAAACAGATGTGATGAAGATTTGTGTAACACATGATGTGGTCTGTAAAAACACCAATCAACTGGAATGACCAAACCTTATGATCAACTATAACAAGTATGTCACAGTTGTTTTAAAATATTTTACAAGTGTTCTGACATTACACATTCAGTATACAGCATCACATGTGTGGGGCACATCTAACTAGTGAGAACAGATCAAAGTAAAATAGTGCTGGGTTAACTTTCAGGTTAGGTCTAAGGTTTCACAAATGCTGGCATTGCCCAGATGTGATTTGTTTATCACGATGCCATGTCAGATCTTAGAAGAAAGGTATCACTGTTCCAACAGTCAGGGATTCTTCCTGTGACTCATAGACATGTGTCCTCCTGAAAACCTCATGTGTCCAGGGTGATAGCGCTGCATGAAACAGATGCAGGCACCCAAAGTGCACCACAGTCAGAGAGGAGAATCATGTCAACACAGCACATGCCCACTCACTGCACTGTGTACACACCTGACCTGGAACAAAGTGGACAACACAATACTCTCCAAGCTCGTCCTGAGACAGGAATCTCAGTGTGAGCCACACGTCTCAACACATTGATGAGACAGGCTGACACTGCAGCACACACAGGGAGAGGTGTGGGTGTGACAGCCCGCTACCATAATTTCATCCTGCCATTACCTGCCCAGCCACTCACAGTTATGCTCACAGAGACAGATGCACAAACACTGTATGCAAGCAACCATGCACAAGCGTACACACAAACATAAACAAATGTACAACACACACATATAAAAAACACAGGACTCAGTTAAAGGTGATGCCAGTACCTTGCTTCTCATTGTGACTCATTGTCAGGCTGCCTGATGAGTGTTGTCAATTGAGCTGACATTAGCGACAACAAACTCTGGCAATGTCTCCCTCTCGATTTGAGTCGAGCAGCATGAAGAGATGCACAATGCTGAAGGCAGTCCACTGAGTTTCATGTGCATCTGTTTACACCTGGTTCGCTTCAGCTGACACTGAAATGAGGTCATGGTGTCAATACACAAATGTCTCTACTATCTGACATGTAATGTGAAATGATGGCCAACTTAACCTCTACATTCATGAATCCTGGATGAACATAATATTGTGAAACAAGACCAAATATAATTCTGAATGTTGGATATAATAATAGATGCAAGATTGCTCTTTTTTTTACTTTTTTCCTGATCTTAATTGTAAATTATTGCATCACCAAATAAATTACCAAAATTATCAAACTCCCCTGGTATAGGAATGATTCATTTCTTTAGTGCAAGGGTAAAGGTGTGCCTTTACATATATTTTAGCCATAATAAGCCATGGCTGTTTACATATGGAATTTACTCTCCAAGTAGTTTTCTGTGCATGTCTTTAATGACTTACAAATAACTGTTCTTGCAGGAATGCTTTAAAATATGCAAAAGTTCAAAGAAAATCCAGGAAAAGATGCGTCTGAAATCACTTCAGTACAGACTGAAATGACTATGGCAGTCAGTGGCTATTGGATATTGGTAGAAATGTCAATATCACATCATAATTTAATGACTCAACATTTTCTTTACTTATTTATATGTTGAAGATGAGTAAAATAAGCAAAACACACCTCTGCCTGCTTCAACGTCATTTCAAAGTAAGTATAGCTATATAGTAAATTTTTTCTTAAACTGTATACTTCATGTTTACATTGACATTCTACAAGTACCAGTATTCTTGCAGAAAATATTGGTATAATTTTATAATCAAAACATTGTGTCACAAATGCTATTTGTTTTTGTCCTCGTCGCCAGATTCTACCCAAAGGGCTACAAACAAGTAGAAAAGAGCCAAGAGTTCAGGGGCAGAAAAAACAATTCTTTCCAGGAAAATATTTCCACCATTAAGCTGTGAGTCAGGGGCCTCTGTCTATGAGTTGCATTCTTATGGGGATCAAAAAGACTCAGGGGGATTGCTGTGCCTTAGTTAGCATATAATATTATCACATGTTGAGCTGCTTATTGAGTTTCACAGCTCCACCCACCCATGACACTCCAATGTTGTCATGTGAGCGCCTACAGAAACCAATCGTAACAGAGAAGGCGTTTAAGAGAGCATGGTGGATATATAGGTGTGTGTGTGTGTGTGTGTGTGTGTGTGTGTGTGTGTGTGTGTGTGTGTATATGATGGAAAAGCTTGCGTAACCACACTAGCAGGTCAGTAATGTATACTCTATAGCAATGGATAAAGATACAGTGCTCAGATAGCCTACACTGGCAGTTAATATTACCAAGACTCACTCTTGGAAATTAATGTTAACACATTACATGAATGTCTGTATATGTATCTTCACGTGTACAGGGTTTAAAAAGTCAGCAGGAGATGTGTAGGCATATGAAACGTTTACAATAAAGTAAAACTATCTCTAGACATGTTTGATGTTAAAGATGGCATACAGGTTTTCAATGTGAACCATTTAAACACACCGTCTATAGAAGAGAAAAAGATGAAGCACGATGTAACAGATCACTCTGCCCACTAGCAAACCATCAATCAATAGTCCACTGATATGAGCCCCAAATGGTTCGAGTACCACCTCATTACTCCTGCACCGCTTCTCTGCCCATACCACCCTTTGAAGTTTAGTAATGATTTCTGACATTTGAGATTAGCTGAACTGAAAATTAATAATGAATTAGTAATATCTGAGTTATAAATATTTGATTCTAAACATCAAGTCCTTAATGTGACAGGTTCAAGGGCGAGAGACATAATGCCAGCCTTGATCTCCCTGAAACCAACACACATAAGGGTTGTTCCAGTCAGATTTCATAAAGCTGTTTGCCAGACGTAACAGGCTTCCTCTTGCTCTGAGGTAACACGAAGACGTCTACTATTCAGCTGTCCAAGGATGTTGTTGTACCACGCAGATAGCAATTATGATCTCATAACAATCATCCTGTGTAAAGCACCTGTTCAGCTTTTAAACTTTGTTTGTTTGTTTGTTTGTTTGTGTTTGGAAAACCAGATTTGGGCAGTTACTCAACACATTATAGCAAGTTAACAATTAACATCTTGCTTAATGCTTACTGTTTGATAACACTAACATGGAAAAGTTTCTGACATCCCACTCTGAAATTTATTGGATGTGGGTGCAGTTAAGATTACACGGTGAAATCGAATTACAGCACGATGCTACAGTAAGCAAAGTTTTTACATTGCAGAGCTTCAAGCAAAATGTTTTGCTGCACACCTGAATGTCTGACAGGTGCATCCAAGGGCAGCATGACTTTAATAAAACTGAAAACTCACACACACCATCTACTTTACTGATGGTAAACATCGTCAGTCTACATGACTTTCATCTGGTACATGAAAAAGCATCACAACTGTTCCTTTTATATAAACACATATGCTGGGTAAATTATCAATTGACCATTTTTTATGGTCCTCTGTTCATACACCTGACAACCAAAATATTGAAAATACAGAAAATATACCAGCAAACTTGAATGAAAATAAATCTACTGGGGAAACATGGCATAAGTGAGGACAAGTCAAATTTGACCAAATTATCTAAACAACATAAAATAAGAAAAAGCAAAAATCAAAAATGATTATTCTAAAATTCTATTGCACCTGCTCTTCTCAAATGTTCAACTTGTTTCTTACCTTTTTCATGACTACAAGTGTAATTCCATTTACCCATGTATTCAGGTTCAATTAAGCAAGAGCAGCCATTAAATTCTGATTAATAATCTGAATAATCACCCAGTGTAACACATTTACATGACTAGGACTTTACACAACTCCATATGTAAAGCTGAGCCCTATACTGAGCAAAACTATGTGTGCATATGAATATAGTAAATATTAGGTCAGTAGGTCATAGGTTTCCTGAGAATTCATTTTTTCCCAGGAACATCTGTTTCACACTCACACACCTACACACATTCACAGTGCCTTGCTCACAGGCACTTCACCAGTGGATTCATTCATTTATCCATTAATATTTTTCCAGTCTAAACACTGTGTGCAAATTAGGGGTTTTGCAACATGACACGATGTAAATCAGCTAAATTGAGGACTCCACATCTCCAGCACAGACAACTGCCTCAAGGTGACAATTTTCAACAACAAAAAAAAAATTGCCTTGACTGAGACGGCTTCATGGCCTGACAGTCATGAAAAAGGTTCAGAAACAAAAGCACCTTATAACCATCATCTCCTTCATTTTACTTGCCAGATCAACTTCACTAGGCCTGCTGCTGAAATGGCAGCCCCCTCTGAAGCAGCTGCCATGAGGTGTTCCTTCATCTCCTGACAGAAGAATCTTTTCTTCCATTTGCCCCCGAATTAGCATGTCACATTTATCGATCACACCTTTTATCCTGCCCCAGTGTGACACCAGCCCAGCGCTAACACTAATTCAGCTCTTTGATGTTCTGATGACACTCCTGACCACCTATAGACCGAGGTCACACATTCAATTGCACCTGATGTAAAAGATGCATGTCTCCCAGTACCAGACTGAGAAAGAGGAAGAGGAAGAGGAAGAGACAGGCAGCATATACATCCAGATTATTACATATATGTCACCTACCTGAGCTGATTGAAGCTCAGATCCAGCCTTCTTGCAAAGTGGCCATATGTGTCTCCAAGGAAGTCTGGGATGTCCTTACAGTCATGTCCGATGTAGGAAATCTTTAAGAAAAAGAAGATTTATTATAATTAAAAAACACAGAGATAACTATGATATAAATATGATATAAATAGCCATGAAACAAGCCATGAAACAATAGCAAAATAGAACAGCAAAATAATTATTCAGGACAACCCACTTTTATATTGCTTTGGCACCATTATTTGAATTTACTTTATTGATATAGGTTGCTAAATAATGCAGCAGCTAATCCTAAAGTTGGGACATGACACTGTTAACACCCAATGCCATGCTATTAATTTTGCAAGGAGATAATTATTTTCTATATGCTTTCCAGCCATCATTATATATAGTGCAAAATAGTTCAATCGTTTGCCCTGCACTAAGGACACATTGTGGCATGGTATTACTCCGTTATTTTCTCCAGTTAAGTTGCAGGAGGAAGTGCAAAACTGAAAGTCACGACTTAGCTACAGGGTCACATGACACCGGTGATGTCGAAGGAACAAACAAAACCAGTTTACATGCAGTACCGATACAACAGCCACTGATTAAGGTGCCAGCTAAACGTGCGAGGGGGCGAAGTCGAAACAGTTTCCAAAACAAACTTACCTGAGTCCCATTCAAAGCGACCAACGACTCGTTTCGTGCCATAACTTTCTCCTGAGGAGGATGACAGCCCACTGACTGTGTGTTTTGTTTTTCTTTGATAATCAGAGTTGATAGCCAACGTCCTGCTCACGGTAAGACACCCGCTGCTGTCAACATTTAATGGTGATGTTAGTGGATGTAACCTCAGCCCGGCTACTTTGGAGATCTACTGGCGCTTTGCAATTGACTTTTACAGTTTCCGCGTGCCAACTCAATCAGCTGACCTGCTGTTGTGTGCGGAAGCACGCGGTCCCACTGTGTCTGTGTGTGTGTGTGTGTGTGTGTGTGAAAATCACAGTGCTGCTGACTGTCTCCTGATTACGGGACAGTCTCACATTTCCCCTTCCATGTATGAAATCCTTATGTTTGGCATCAGTCTGCGTTTAAGGAACGCGTGTCTACATTTTTACAGGAAGTAGCCTACAAACTAATTTGTTTACACAAGTGGATGAGATAACCAGCACCTGTTGAAAAGCATTAAGATAAACAGCTGTTTTTGCAGCAGGGTGCTAGGAAGAGTCGTGTTTAAAATATATTTCACCTTTCATAGATTAGAAGATTAATGAATTAAGCTGAATTCAATGCCTCCATTTTACCGACGTTAGCTTAAGTAGCTACCTTGACGCAGTTCGGAAAGTGAAGCGCTGCTGCTCTGTATTGGGGCATTAACCTAACCAAACACATCTGTTAATACTGGTTTTTTAAGGAATTCCTCCTGTGAACCAAAAACATATTGCTTGGAAATACTTACAATAAAGCACATATCTCCCTTTGGCGTTACTTGTCCAACTAGGCCCAGCGTTACATTTTCTTCCCTCTGTTCTACCGCTTTAACAGGATGAGCTCAGTGCTGCCCCCTGTGATACAACGCACTCAAAATACAAAAACCAATACATTTCACACACACCCTACTTGTTTAGTTAGCCATGAAGATAATTTTGGTTTACTGAAACTACTTTCTACAGTCCCTATTAAAACTGTACTGACAGCTTTCATGTGGGTTATTCAGTGTAGGCTAACTGTGGCGTTGTCTCCGGAGTCTGTGGTTCACACATCATGGTTACACTGCAATTAAGACTTGTTGGTTCCACTTAACAAGAATAATCATAATACCAAAGGGTTGTGACATTAGGTTTGTGATTGTTTTGGCCCAGACCACATCACAAAACCAATAAATGCAATAGCTTTAATAGGCAATTACAACGCAAGAGAGTGCAGTAAGTGTAGTCATCTGCAATGCAGTTAACTCTGTGGAAGTAGGAGTAAAATCCTTATTGTCTACAAACCTTAGACTGAATATAAAAAAATCATGTTTCTGGACTGAGACCTATCAATCTGTGTATAGTTTGAGATTATAAAATGTAAGCAATGCAAAATGATATATGGGTAGAAGCACACATTTGGACACAAACTGCATGGTATGGGCTTTACCCTTACCTTGGCTCCTCCATAGCACAATAATGATGGTTTTACCTGTATATCTCTTAGTGCATGGGCAACAGGTAGGTTCACCTATAGTCTTCTAAAATCCATAAACTGATGCATACCTTTGAGCTACTGCAGGTAAACCTTGTATACAACTGCTTGATATTATCAATAACGTGTGTATGTATTGTGATTTTTTCACACTAAACCAACCCTGAATCCAATCACGTTTTTGTTTGTGGTATTTCTGTTCTGTAAACACTCACACAACAGTGTGTGTAATCTAAAGAAAAAATTATGACTTTTCAAACACTGTAAAGAGGACCTGCTTGTATTTAAATATCAAAGCATATTTACTAATACAGTTTGCACTGTCCACAAGACTTCTCAAACTTTTGTGTCTTGGTCTTTTATGATTATAGTAATTGTGACTGGGTCTCGTCCTGAATGAATGAGGTTCAATGAAATTGTGTTAATAATTCCATGTATCTGTATATCTGTATGTTAAAACTACTTATGACCTGAGTTCATATGGATTATGTATCTCTAAATTGCTGACTTTTGAGATAACTGGGCAAAGATATAATGGCACTGGGTGATCATTAAATTACCTATATGGGCATGAGGGCAATGGCAAAATTGTAATTGAAAAATGATTACATCAGCTTAACACTAACTTATCTTTCTATCCAGATGTTGATCCAGCTACCACAGAATATCCAAGGAGACAAATTAAATCTTTATGAAGACTGTGAATGTGAAAGGACTGCCACTTGACCTATAGGCCAGAGGTGGTGACAATGTTGTTTTATCAAACTTTTGAAATAAAATAAAAGTTTGTTTCAGATAAAATGTGAAAACTATTAGAACCACTTTCCATTTACGCCCTAAGTTAGCATCAGAGATGTAAACAAACCTTAACGGCTTCATGTTAACCATATGACTCGTGTTTATTTCACTTTGAGTCACAACTTTGTGTAGCTTTGCAGGTCAGCTATGAGCACTATACTGTGGGCCAATAGTTCTGCATACACTGTTACACAGTGTGGGCTTGTGATATGTCTTGTTTCTTTTTTCTTATATGTGTTTGACTGCTTGATAATGCCTGTTTAACACTCTACCTATCAAATTTAATTTAAATGTCATTATAGAAAGATCATGAATTGGGAATGATTACTGTCACTTTTGTGACAAAACCCACCTTGGTGTGATAATAAAATGAATTTAAAAAAACCTGATGTTGGCAAGATAAATATATAGAGACTTTACCTACCAAACTATCTTACATTCATTTATTTTAGTAGGCCTATGTGTCTCTGTGTCCTAAAAGCATGCAGGCAGGCAGAGACTGCAGCCAAACACTAAAGCAGCTTACCTCACTGCTATGTTTATCCTTCTCCCTCTGAAGCTGTGCTAATGAGTGAAAGGAGCTGCTTTGTCAAGGTAATGGGGCAAACCTGCACACTGTGGGTAACAGTGGCACTCAAGTTGAAGAGAATGTAAAAGTTTGGGAGCGCCACACTGCTCCTCTTCCTCACTGTATGTCATGTGACGTCACGTGGGACCTCCCATACTCTCCATACGCGGAAAAAGCTCACTTTCTCCCCGCAGCCCGCCCGGAGAGAGAGCGAGAGAGTCTGCATGGCTCCAGTCTCCGCCGTGCTCCATGCGGTGCTTCACATTTGACAGAATGCAAAGTGGTTGTGTTTGAGTAATGCAAAAATAGGTTTGTTTTAGACAGAAGGACTACGTCTTAATGTTGTTACAGTCTTATGTTTTTTTTTAAAAATCCTTTTACCTCTCTGACGTTTTACATCGGGGCTTAGTAGGCAATGCTTCCAGGTAATGTCGTGTCACGGACTTTCCTGTAAACCTGTCCTTCCTCCTTGGAGTTTTAGAAAAACCTTTTCATGCATGCATCTGAATGGTTTTAATATGTTACTCTCCTGTGCAGCCTCTATCTTCTTTTATCTGTTTCTGCGATTTGGATATTATGTGCGTCTATTTAAAAAGAAAGCACATGCTTTAGGTTGTGGCTGGAATATTATCTCAAAGTAAATAACAGAGTTGAAAGAATAAGACTATTATAAAATTAATAACTTCATTTTAACATTGATAATAGCATCAAAACTGACTGGGTATAAGAAATATGTCATTTCTTTAAAATATAAATGTAGGTAAAATTAAGGGTCTGTTATTAGAAAAGTAGTTTAATTATATATTCTCTATTTTCTATAAATTAGCCATAAGATTGAAATTTGTTCTTCCTCGTGGCAAAGAAGTCAGCCCAGTATATAGCTCAAAGTAATCCTGCAAGTACAACATATTCCTCACCAGATGTAAATAGTTGTATTTGCATGCGGGGAGTTATTCATAAACATGTCAGTGTTATGAAATATATGGGGATATTAAAACTTTCTATTTAAATATCATGAATTATGGTCGCAAGAATGTGTTCCCATTTAAGGGGAATGCCGAGTATTTTGGTGTCTGGTGCAGAAGCCCATTCGTCATACGGACAATAAAGAGGGTTTTCGCCTGACAGTGAAAATTTATGGTTGCCCTTCTTTGCCCTAATAACTCACATATTGTGTCACGGACTGACAGCCCTTGCAGAAAACAGCAAGCCTGTTATCAATCACACATCTTTGCATATTGTGAAACGTTCCCCCTTTTTTTCTGCCAGAGAAAAACACTGAGAACACTTGAAGGAATAAGAGCTCCGCTCATTTGGACTTCTATCCCCCAGTTCTTACAAACTCCCCCAATAAAATGAAAAGAACTGTTGGCCTATTTTGGAGTTAGTGTTTATTTATATTACACATTATCTCAAAATTACGACTTATGTCTTTATAAAGAAGACAAGTGCTGCTTGTTTTTATTTGTTCATACACAGTTTACAAAGCTGTAGTCAGCCATGCAGACCAGTGTAGGCCTATGAACTGAAACCAATCTTCTTCTTTTTTCAAACTTAGCTGAAAAGTGTGTATTTACGCGTGTGTGTTAGATTTATTTGTAAATTGTTTCCTCATATTCTTCTTTTTCACCATGTGTCTGTGTTTGATCTTATTTTTATTTCATAACCTTCATCCTAAATTGTATTTGCGGGAGATTATGGACTCCAACACTCTGCGTGTTTTTAGTTAGTCCTGCTATTTTTCACGAAAAAACATATTTTGCCCCCTCACTGTCCACTCCAGGTTTTCTTGCTCTCCAAGTTGACCTGTCAAGCAGATTACCACAGAAAGAGATTAATGGCAGAGGCGGGTTGCAATAATAATCGTTTTGTTTGATGTGACAACTTTGATAGGCGTTGATTTACTTACAAACTGATAGGCTTTTAATTGAGCGCCTCCATCCCGATTGAGATGAAAGGAGAACCGCATTGAAAAGCTGCCCGATTGCCCCGGAGCCTCAATACTGATTAGCCATCTCAGCGGTGAATAGTTCAAGGCATTTTAAACTTCTTTTCTCAACGGCCTGACAGACCATTTCTCTTCTTTTCTTTCTCCCCACTCCGCTTTTCTACCTCTTGAAGAAAATAAATCATTTTCATTGTATGTAAATAAAATCGAGCTGACATCAATATAAAATGTCTGGATTTCTTTTTTGTTCCCTGTCTTTGTTATTCTTGTCGCAGATGACAGTGTGCCCGAGGCAGATGACAGGTTTTAACAACACAATAGCAGATGCGTTCAGCTAAAATGGACAGGGCTCTGTTTTGAAAGACTGTGATGTTTCACCGGGTTGTTACACATTATCATTTTTTTT